GGAGAAAGTTTTTATATCATCTACAAAATTATCTTCCATATTAAGAATCCTATTTCATTGTTTTAATGCATAATAATTCACTGATCTTTTGTGGACTTACAATTCACATATAGGCCTAATATTTCGTGCTTAGTGAGGCTTTATTTGCTGAGATTTAAGTTTTAGGATAAAATCTTTAACTTGCATAATAATGCTTACTGTAGTTTTTTCTAGATGTTTGTTTATTCTAAATTATGATGTCTTATATGGTTTGTGTGTTTTTAGATGCTGAAAGGGCTCTTTCATAAAGATATGCAAAGGGTAAATCAGGACTTATCAGGCTTTTACAACAGTGTCATTCATCTGAACTTTTTGAATGTTTATATATATATATATATATATATATATATATATATATATATATATAATGAGAATATTTTATTTAATGTAATTAAAATATTTAATTTATTTATATTAATTAATGTTTTTTTATTTTCTGCAATGCTTTGTGATATAACGTTTGAAATGTATTACATTAAAGGGGTTGATGCGATTGGTAAGGGGCGTTGCATTTCCGACGCGTGCTTGTGGTGTTTGGCCAATCACAATGCATTGGGTCAGCTGGCCAATCAGAGCAGATTGCGCTTGTCAAAGGAGGGACTTTGTAGAAAACGAAGCGTTTGAGAGAGGCGGGGCATAGAGGACCTACAATAATGTACAGTATTTGAAAAATAATGTGTTTTTTGAACATTAAAGCATGTCAACATATTCTGTTACACCAAATACACAATCTTTAAAAAAGCATCATATGACCCCTTTAAAGAAAATATTTATTTAATTAAATTAAATTAAAATGTATATTTAAATTAAATATGAATATTTAATTAAATGTAATAAAATTCTAATTAAATTGAAATATATTTGTATTTTTTATGCTTAAATATTTTTTATTTTAATTAATTTTTGTATTTATTTCTGCAGTGCTTTGTGATAAGTATAAATATATGTCACGTCAAGAAAAGTGAATATTAATATTAATCGTAATGAATTAAATACTTCTTAAACAGAGATTTTTACATGAATTATGTGCACTTTGCAAATACTTATTTAATCCCTCATTCTACAGCTTCAGGATATGGAGAACACGATGACGGAGCTGGAGAAGTTTGACCACACGCAGGTGATGGTGAAACAGCGTGAGAACCAGCATATTAAGAGGGACCTGGAACATTGCAAAGCAGAACTCAATAGTACATCACCAGCCCCTACACTTTCCCCAGGTACATATTAACTAGTTTATCATAATTACGTAACCACAGCTAAAGCATTAAAATATTAGACTTACATTTTTGCTTCTATCTTTTTAGGTCACTGTGGTCTGGGCCGCATGGTCAACGTATCGGGACCTAAAACGTATTCCCTCACAGTGTACGGAACGTCCTACTCTTTTGGTGCTTGGGGTCGAGATGCACATCCTGCTCCAGGAGACGAGAACAAGTACTGGCTGGTGGTGCTGTCCAGTAGTAATGCATTCGGCAACTTTATCCGCCAGTATAATAGTTTGAGTACTATTATATTAGGTATAGGACCAACAGATACACACATATCAAGCTCCAATCCCACAACAAACACAATTCAGGGGCCAAACATGGTCATGTACGCCAATGCGCTCTACTATAACTGTTTCAACACATATTACGTCTGTCAGTTCAACATGACGACTCGTTCTGTCAGTACTGTGGCTCTACCTAGTGATACAGGATACAACAACAAGTTTCCATTCGCACACCTCGGCACAACATACAGTTATACTGATATGGATTTTGCCACAGATGAATCTGGGGTCTATGTTATATATGCGACCACAAACAACTTCGGAAATGTGATTATCAGTAAAGTCGAGACTAGTAACCCGCCAGTTTTGAACAAAACATGGTTCACTTCTCTTCACAAAAAGACTGTGACAAACACCTTCATGGTGTGCGGTGTGCTTTATGCTACTCGTTACGTGGATAAAGAAATAGAAGAGATCTTTTACTCCTATGACACCAAGACCAACGAAGAACGCTATGATTTGAGAATTCACATTAAGAAGTTGCAGACTAATATTAAGTATATGAATTATGACCCCAGAGATCATTTGCTGTATGTCTACAGTGACGCCTACATTGTGACATATGAAATTGTTTTAGCAAGTTCACTGAACTTGATTAATGATATCTTGTCTTTTATTCACCAATAAGTGTTATGATTTTACATATTTGATCATCTAAAAATTAATGTTTTGAAATCGGAAAATCATTATGTATCACATTTTGGTTCTTGAAATAAAATTTGAGTGAAAATATTAGTGCTTATTTACTACATTATACAGACATAAACACTACACACACAGATACATTTGCAGAACATAATGCTTATATTATGCTTGATTTAAATATTCATAGCTGGACGCATAGTGATATACGGCTATGTAATTTCACAAATTAACATTTCATATATAAAAAATAAATAAATACAAAAATAAAAATACAGCCACCTAAACAAAAACAGTAAATGGTACAAACAAGGGTATTGATAGCTGAGATGATGCTTCGGTTGTATTTTCAGTGTAATGTAGATCCTAAGCAGATGAGTACAAATTAGCTTCTCAATATTCAGTCAGTCTGTGACAGGACAGTCAGTGGAGGATCCTAGCATAGGCAAAATAGGCAGCAGCCTAGGGTGGCAACGCACAGACACTACTTTCTTCTCTTCTTTATACTTCATTTTAGGCAGTTTCTGTGATGTTACTTTAATGACAAATGTCAAGAGCACATTACTGTAACACGATTGCACATCTATGTACAAACAAAATTTCGTATCGTAAAATAATAATAATACCGTCTCATAACATATGCTCTCGGTAGACCTAGGTTCTGGAACACTTGTGCACACTCTGGTTCTGATTTTGAGACTTCCAAACCTCACAGCAGGGACAGAGCTATCTGGACATGATGGGGAAAAGAAAGGACCAACAGGTAGGCTATGACAGTCTGATGAGCAAAAGATCCTATTTTGAACCTGCCCGCAAACACTAGATGTTGCAAACATTATATAAAGCAACATTGCGGTGAGATCGTGAGGCAAGACATTTGTTTTACTTTACTCATGGATCAGCCAAATGTGTCCACAGAGATAAGACAACACATCCTCTCTTATTTCTTCATGCGTCATTTTTTTCCCACATTAATTTTAAACTGATCATTAAAAAAAAAAGTTTGGTAGAACTACTATTCAATAAAAAAATCAATTGCTAAAGGAAAACAAATAAAGCATTTTATAAGCAGTGATCTAAAATGCCCATTTAGGGTATTTAATGTAAAATTTACATTAATTTACTGTTAATGTAAAATTACACATTTTATTGCATTTTGCACACCCTATAAAAGCCTAAAAAAAAAAAGCTCAATGTGTTAAACCTTTGAACTTGAGAAATAAATCTTCAAGACACTGTCAGTCCAGTTCAGCATCAGTTAGACAGTGAGACAAAATGTGAAAATTAAAAGCAAACTCTGTTGTAACAGATGACCTGCTCCACCCAAAGATATGAAGTCTTCTCTCTCACTTTCATCAGTTATTTCATCATAATGATATGGCTTTAAAACTCTGCAGCTTCCAGACAAGTTGTTTAAGATTATAGTGTCCCTTTGCAGCTTTAGATATGAGTCAGTCCTATATATTCATTTTGATGATTGTCATCCCATTAAGTTTCTGTCAGGTAAGGAAGATAAAGTCATTTACATCAATTATTACTGATACCTTATTTCTCCAAGTGCTGTGTCTAATATATTGTTATGGAGAAAGCATTGAATTAAAAAAAATAATAATAATTTTAATGTATCATTCAATTTCCTGTGATTCGTTCATCACAGTCAGGAACAGGGAATGAATGTGTGTGCGATCTAAAAAATGCAGATCCTCCTTTTCCTAAAGATGAACTTACAAAAGTAGAAACCACAGCCTTGAAATGCATAGGGAGCATCACTTCAGAAAAGGTCTTTTTTTTATTTAAACAAATTTTTCTTTATATTTCATTCAAATGAATTCTAAAGAGTTTTAGTAAATTCAAATTAAATGAATAATGTTAATGTAATTATCTGCAGATGACAGACTTAGACAGACTTGTGTTGGGTCTACAACAACGTATCAAGCAACTAGAGGACGATGTGGTCATGCTGGAAAAAGAAAACAGCAATCTGTATGCGGCTGTGTCTCTGCGCATCATTGAGTTAGAGTTTGCCGAAATTCAGGAGCTCCTCAACAAACTCAACAGGACCACCAGCGATTACCATCATCTAGGTGTACAGGCTGCAGCTCAGGTGAGTTGCTGTACAAAGAAAGTTCTTCAAATTTAAAACAAATCCATAGAATCATTGCAATGTAATGTATTCACATAAGAACACAAAGAGGAAATTTAAAAAATCATCTAATAATTTAAACTATAAATGTAAATAAAAGAAATACACACAAACAACAATAATATAAGCTATATATTCGTTCAAATAGTGGTGAGATATAAAGCAATGTAAAAAAAAATGACATTGTAAATAATACTGTATGTTAATATAAATTGTGATGCCTTTAATAATTAGTGTTATCTAAATGGACATAATAAAGGATGGGATGTTGTTGCTGTTTTGTGAAACGTTATTTCATTACTCATTTTTTGAACTGCCTAAATTCCTCTTATTTTCCCTCTTTGTCTTAAAGCTTGAAGATATGAAGGACACAATGGTGGAGTTGGAGAAGTTTGACAAAATGCAAGTGATTAAAAAGTATCGAGAGAACCAAATCAAGAAGACTTTGGAACAGTGCAAAGATGAGCTCAAGGCTTCATCACCGCCTCCTACAGTTTCCCCAGGTACGCTAAAGACCACTCACTTTTTTCCATTATTAGCCACTAGTGTTGAATAAAAACATTGTTTTCCGATTATCTCTTATCTTCCTTTGTACAATCTTAATATCGACTATCAGTATTTCCTGCACTGCTTGTTAGCGGGGGCGCGAATCTATGGTGTGGCTGCTGAATATAAAGCCACATGATAAAAGACGTTACAATTCACCCCAATTTGCAGTAGAAGTTGAACGTGATGAGATAAGAAGGGTGTGTATTACAAATAATGGCTATTGAGTTTTTCTGTTTTTCTTCTGTGTTTTCAGGACGCTGTGGTCTGGGTCAAATGGTAAATGTGGTGGGACCTAGAACGTATTCCATCACGGTATACAGCACCTCCTACCCTTATGGTGCTTGGGGTCGAGATGCAAAACCCGCTCCAGGAGACGAGAACAAGTACTGGCTGGTGGTGCTGACAAGTAGTAATGTATATGGCCACTATGTCCGCCAGTACAGCACCTTGAGTACTCTTTTATTAGGTATAGGACCAAAAGATACATACATATCAAGCTCCAATCCCACAACAAACACAATTCAGGGGCCAAACATGGTCATGTACGCCAATGCGCTCTACTATAACTGTTACTATTCAAACTCCGTCTGTCAGTTCAACATGACGACTCGTGCTATCAGTACTGTGGCTCTACCTAGTGATACAGGATACAACAACAAGTTTCCATTCGCACACCTCGGCACAACATACAGTTATACTGATATGGATTTTGTCACAGATGAATCTGGGGTCTATGTTATTTATGCGACTACAAGTAACTTCGGAAATGTGATTATCAGTAAAGTCGAGACTAGTAACCCGCCAGTTTTGAACAAAACATGGTTCACTTCTCTTCACAAAAAGACTGTGACAAACACCTTCATGGTGTGCGGTGTGCTTTATGCTACTCGTTACGTGGATAAAGAAATAGAAGAGATCTTTTACTCCTATGACACCAAAACAAAGGAAGAGCGCTATGATTTGAAAATAAATATCAAGAAGATGCAGACTAATATTGAGTTTCTTAACTATGACCCCAGAGATCATTTGCTGTATGCCTACAGTGACGCCTATATTGTAACTTATGAGCTCATTTTTCAGTAAGTCTCCAATGACTTGATTTGAGACAAGGGATATTGGCTGAATCCTATTTCACATACTGTCTGCACTATATAGTATGCAAGATTACAATTGGTATCCCAAAGGTACAGTATACTAAAAGGTTTTGAGACTTAGCAACATGCAAAAGCTTACATGCAAAAACAAACAAGGGGACTGTGTTATCAGAACAATTGTATGATATTATGTCCAATTACTAGTTTCCTGTCTTACAGTAATTTCAAAAGTACTTTCCTATCTCCACTTAAGCACAGGTTGAATGGTGGGGGAGGGAGGGAGGGGGGTTGCAGGGGTGGTAGGTGAAGGTGTGAAGTGCAGATCAGAGCGGATGGGGGGTGGTAGACGATCCTTTTCAAATCTGCAGTAAAACACATTCAGATCGTCAGCCAATTGTTGATTCTCCGCAAGCTGTGGGGGTGGTGTCTTGTACATGGTGATGTTCCTCAGACCAGTCCATACTGACGCTGGATCGTTTGCTGAAAGCTCTTTTCTCAGCTTTTCTGAGTAGTTTTTTTTTTTTCCTGTCTTACAGTAATTTCAAAAGTACTTTCCTATCTCCAGTTAAGTATGTACATTTACTGTAAATAAATATGATTTTACATATTTTAAATGCCAGAACTGCTTGTTTTGTGGAGGAAAAGCATGTGTTTTTTATGTACTGCACATTTTGGTTTATGAAATCAAATCCAAATTAAATTAAATGTTAGTGCTGGAAAACCTACAAACACAGATGCAAGAACATGCTTACATTGTGGCTGATTTAAATATACATATGCAGAACATGCTTACATTAATGCTGATTTAAATATACATATGCAGATTTCAAATATTAAATACACACACAAACATGGTTTATGTAATATTCCAAACTTTCCACATATTAACCTTATTTTACTGCAATTCACAAATATGGAAAAACGAATTTTCATTGAAATGTAGGCCTAGATCGTATTGGGTCCTGCCGCTGCCCTCTGTTGTTTGTATGCAGTGCTGTCATTTCGGTTAAAAGTTGTCTCTAGGCTACCTGTGAAGGTAAGTCTCCCAAGCAACAAGTACCTGAAATTAGCTTTTCAATACTCAGGCTGTGGCATGACAGTTTGACGTGCCACAATTACTATGTAAAAAGCAGGATTATGCGTTATTTTTATTCATGTCCAATATTTTACAAAATTAATTTTGTGTTTAATATTATCAC